TGGCTTACAAGCTTTCAAGAGGGAACCTAGATCCAGAGGGCCTGGAGGAAGGTAGAATCTCCAGTGAGTAGTATTCAATCTGACTAGGCAGGGAGGATGCAATGAAATACAGACGGGTCTCTTGTGGTGATGATGATGATCGATAGATTAGACAGATCAGACAGACAAACAAACAAACAAACAAATAAATAAATGTTACTTGATAAAGAAAAAGTTAGGAGCCCTGGTGTGGTACTATAGGATAAGGACCACACCACAAGGTTGGTTCAAACCATAAGGTCTGCAGTTTAAACTCACCAGCTGCTCCTCGGAAACCCTGTTCAGGGTTGCTACAAGTCAGAACCAACTTGATAGCAAACCACCACCACCACCATAGCTTTAAACTTAAATTACTTCATTCCAAATTACATACTCACCAGTATAAATAGAGGCTTCTCGAGCAGCAACAGGCATGTTGGAGGTATTTGCAACCAAAGCTGTCCTCTTCATAATTGACTCTATCTTACCGTCAACTTCCATTGTGAGCTGTAGACAAACAATGTATTTAAGGATCCTCTAAAATGTTTAACATTTTAGTCCATTTTAACAACTTGCCTGTGTTTAATCTCTCCTATAACCAGGTCTAATCTCTTCTCCCTGCCCATGGTACCATGAAGAAAGAAGGTACTGTACTTTTATTTCATAAATAAAATCCATTATTTTATAGGTAAAAGAAAAGAAATATCACTACAATAACCTTAGACATAAAGCTTATGTACAGTTAATACCTATCTGTAAATGTTTTGCTATTTTACCTTTCTCTCAGTACTGAAAACCACTGACCAAAAAAAGAAATTTTCAAGTGTTTGACTTGTAAAAATTCAATTCCTTTCCTTCAGTCTGTAAATTTCATCAAATATACCTAGGAAATTTCTTTAAAAGATCCTTGACAAATGACAGTATTGCTCTAGACTCAGCTTCATTAATTGCCAATGAAAGTTGATTAGTGGTATTTTCTTTGGGCTATCATTTGAAAATTTATATATACTGACCTCTGGGAAGTCACGAAGGACTTCAGACATTTCATTCCCTCTTTCACCACATCCTACATAGATGATGACATCACTGTTGGAATATTTGGATAGAGACTGTGATATCACTGTCTTTCCACAACCAAAAGCCCCAGGGATAGCAGTAGTTCCTCCCTGCACACACCTACACAAAGAACAGAGTCTGGATTACTTTGCATGCTAATAAAGAAAGCAAGTAATCATCAAAGAAATTCAAGTTAATGAAGGAAAACACTTTGAATTACGTAATTATATTATTCAAAGTACTTTCTTTTATGTTTATTTATAAATACCACACATATATTTATGTAAATATATACAAACATACAGTTTTATATATGTTGTTTGTTGTCAGGTGCCATCGAGTCGGAACCGACTCATAGTG